ACTCGCTTCCCTAATAACGCTATGAAGGTAACTTGCTCCTTTGTACTTCTACCTTCGCTGTTTAGTTCCTTCATCATTTTTTTATTTATTTTTTTATTATTTTTTTTTGTGGTTCTTAACTTCAGCTTGTTTTGGGCAGACGTTGTTTGGGATGATGGCCATGCAGAGGGCCATTGAGTCCTGGGATAAGAAGATCCACGCTCTGGAGGGTTCGGTCAAGAAGCTCTCCACTGACATGGGCAAGGCAAAGGTCATCCTTACCCATCTTAAAGGGGAAAAAGGAAGAGGTGGGGAAAACCTTGGAAGCTTAGAAGACAACCAGGCTTGAGGCTGAAAGACGAGCTGTTAACTCCGAGAGGGTTCGACTTGTGGACCTGCTAGGTTGGATTCCTGGAAAGATTGAGGCCGTGGTGGCTCGTTTCTCCCGAACAACTACTCTAAGGTACGCTAAGGGCTAAAGGGAGGGGTTCTTTGACAATCCTTTGCCTGAGGGGCCTCAAAGAGCCTTTCCTACCCCAAACACTTGCGATAGGGAGTTGTTCGTTGATCCTCATGTGTCTTATGTTGATCCAGTTGGGGACCCGACCGAGGAGATTTTCCAGGAATGCATTGCTGCATTGGCCGAACGCCTTCCACCTCCTTCCATTCTTCCAGCGACTCCGGCAAGAGAAGTTTCTGATCCTGCTTCTAAGGGCAAGGCAAAGGCTTCTGGTGGGGATATTATTGATCTAACCGTGGACCCTACCACAACTGCAATCGAGGAGGAGCCCATCAATCTTGACTCCCCCACTCCAGATGCAAAAGCAAAGGAATGGGTTGTTTAGAGTAACTTTGTAAAATCATTTATTCTCTTTTTTTTTTTTTTTTTTTTTTTTTTTTTTTTTTTTTTTTTTTTTTAATAAGTTCCCTTTGTTTAAGGGAACAATTGATGTAATGGGATTATCCTCTCTTTTTTTGTCAATATAAAGACGGTATTTTTTTTGCCCTTTCTGTCTTCTTTTTCATTTGTAAATCTTACAAGTGTTTGGTGTCCAACTCACAAATATTATTTGCAAATCTTCACCTACGAATTTTCATTAGTATACTGCGTTCAGCCTGTAGTGTCACTTGCCATTGATATAGTTACAAAATTTTATTTGAATTCCTTAAGTGTTAGGCGATCGGCTAATGGTGCCACTTGCCTTTTCACTTAGAATTTTTGTTTGAATTCCTTAAGTATTAGGCGATTGGCTAATGGTGCCACTTGCCTCGATCGGCTAATGGTGCCACTTGCCTCTCTTACTTGGGAATTTGTTTGAATTCCTTAAGTGTTAGATAATTGGCTAATGGTGCCACTTGCATCTCTCACTTAGAATTTTGGTTTGAACTCCTTAAGTATTAGGCGATCAGCTAATAATGCCACTTGCCTCTTTCACTTAGAATTTTTGTTTGAATTCTTTAAGTGTTAGACGATCGGCTAATCGTGCCACTTGCTTCTTTCACTTGGAATTTACGTTTGAATTCCTTAAGTGTTAAGTGATCGGCTAATCGTGCCACTTGCCTCTTTCACTTGGAATTTGTGTTTGAATTCCTTAAATGTTAGGCGATCAGCTAATTGTGCCACTTGCCTCTTTCACTTGGAATTTTGGTGTGCAGACGCATTCATCACAGTTGTATTTTTGAAAAAAGGGTACTTTTTTATTGAACACTCATCTCGGTAAGGTTCTTACCACAACCAACGGATTGTAATCCGGATAAAGCTTTAATGATAATACCTTTTGCAATAGGTGGTGTTCCATGGTTTGTTCACCTACTTCCCTCGCAGTGTCTTGAGCCTGTAGGATCATTTTCCAACGACTTCAGCTATTCGAGAGGGTACTTCCCAGTGGGGTTGCATTTTTGTAACTAGTCTTACCTTTCACTTTAAAACCATTTCTTTTGGGGTGAAGGTTCGATGTCTCACCTTCCAGTTATGCCCTCTCACCAAGATCTGTTGGTACGAGGCCAGTCGGATCATTGCGTCCTCTCTCTTCTCGTTTATCAGATCGAGGTTTCATTCGACCAGGTGATCATTTTTTGAGGTCCAATCAGTGCTCCTTAGCGTGGGCACTACCTGCTCGGTCAGGATCACAACCTCGGATTCGTATGTCATGGCGAATAGACTCTCTCCGGTTGGTCTCCTTGGGGTGGTTTAGTAGGCTCACAGTACCTTTGGGTGCTTCTCCAACCAATTCCCTTCTTCTTCTTCTAATCTCATTTTGATACAATCAAAGATTGTTCAGTTTGTGATCTTAGCCTGGCCATTTTCTTGTGGGTGGCTTACTGATGCTAACTTTTGGTTGATTCCGTACTCATCGAGGAGCTCCCTGACATGCTGATTGTCTAGATTTGTGCCATTGTCCATCACGATCGATCAAGGAACTCCGAATATGTAGACAAGGTTGTTCCAAATGAAGCGTTTCACCTGAGTGTGGGTTATAAAGGGGTAAGGCTTGGCCTCCACCCACTTAGTGAAGTAGTCTATTGCCAGCAGGACATACTTATTCTATGATCAGGTAGGTGGGAGTGGTCCTACCACATCCATCCCCCATTAAGTGAATGGCCATGGACTTGCCATTAAGTGTAAGTTCTCTTGGGGTTGATAGATGAGCGGGCCGTACCTTTGACACTTGTCGCATCTTCTGGAAAACTCCTCTGCATCCCTTGACATGTATGGCCAAAAGTAACCCTGCGTTAGGGCCTTATGAGCTAACGATCGGCCTTTAGTATGATTTTCACAGACGCCACTATGAATTGTTTTGAGAACTTCTTGGGCTTCAGAGGGGGTCAAGCATCACAGATAGTAGCCTGAGTATGATTTTCTGTACAGTTGACCTTGGGGCGATTGTGTACTTTGCTGTCTTTGTCCTGATCGCTCTGGCCTCACTCTTGCTATCGGGCAATGCACCGGTCTTAATATAGGTCATGATCGGATCGATCTAACTTGGCTCATATGGGATAACATAAATCCGTTCGGGCTCTTCTGTGGAAGGATGAACCAAGACGTCCATTGAAACTACTCTAGTCAAATTGTCGCCAAAACCGAATGCTGCATTTGCCACTTGATCGGCCTTCCAGTTCTGTACCCTAGGGATTTGGTCAAATTTAATTTGGTCGAACCCCTATGCCTCTCTCTCAATTTCAGATCGGTAGGCATTCATGTGCTCATCCTTGGCGGTGTAATCTCCCATTACTTGTCTCACAACCAACTGAGAATCACTAAACACATGTAGGTTTTGTATTTACAGCTCTTTTGTAAGTCGTAGGCCAGCTAATAGAGCCTCATACTCCGCCTCATTATTTGTTGTTGGAAATTCAAGTCTGATTGCCTAGGTTAAGAGTGTTCCATTTGGAGTTTTAATTACTATGCCCCGATTCGAGGAGCCATCAACGTAGAGATGCCACTGGGGCTCTGTTTGTGCATCGAGCTCATCGTTGGGCTCTTGGTCAAGTAGAAAACCTGGCACAACTTGCCCCTTGATCGCCGTGCGAGGTTCGTAGTGTATCTCGAAAGGATTCAGCTCAATTGCCCACTTGGCGATCTTCCCACAGACGGCGCCAGATGAATGTGCAAGAATTTGCTCTCTTTATTAGGAAAGTAAAATTGTTACACTTTAATCGAATCCTTTTACATTTCTTACCTTTTTCTACTTATTGAAGTCTCAACTTGCCCTAAAAATCCTTTGGTCTTATCTAAACCTTAAGGTAATATGGGTTTCATCCCTCCTAAACGGGCTGGATCTCTTCTTGAGCCTCACCCTCAGTTAGAACATGCCTTAAATGAGAGTGAATGGGTTGGGGGGTCGCTGGGCTCTTCTAACTAGCGGGCTGGGCCAAAGTTGGCCCAGTGGGGTTTTATGCCCCTTCAGTTACTGTAATCTAATGGTATGTTTGGAATATTTATTTGGAGGGCCAAAAAAGTAATTTAAAATTAAATTCGTAAAATAAAATAAAATAGCTTTAATGTATGGTTTGTAAAAGCATGTCTATAATTTTATTTTATTTATTTATTTTTTCATGTCTATAAATGATATGAGAAAAAAAATGAAGAAAAAAACATGTCTTTCTTTAAGTGCATTTTTAATGTGGGTTTCTAAAAGCATGTCTATAAATGATATGAAAAAAAACAAGAAGGTAACAATAAGAATTACAATAAGGAAAATAATTTAAAGGCCACTAATTTTGCCTATTTGTCATGATTCTTACAATAGTAATTAACACTTTTATTTTTATTTTTTATTAGATTTGAATTTTGAAGGCCGCAACAAGTAACTTCATTTACGAATTATTTTTAATAATCATAAATAGATAACCATAAATATATATTTTTAAAGATTTCTCAAATTTTCAATACAAAATTAAGCACCATAATAAATACTTTATTTTTGAATTTTAAAAAAAATTTGAAACTTGATTAAACGAATGTATGAGTTTCTCATTAAAAAAATAAATAAATTTAATTACAGTAGTTATTGAATTTCAAATGATAAAGGCAGTTACCACTTCCCACACGTTACCGATGTTCATCGCACCCCACTTATGGTGCGGCTTCGTTTCTGGACAAAATTTGTTGGAACTTTCTCGTACTTTTTTTTTTTTTTTTTTTTTCTTTCTTTATCCTCTCATTCTTCATTTTAATTTTCCATTATCCATTAATTAATTTGGTTTAATTAATTATTTATTAGGAATTTTTCATTCTTTTTCTTTTTGCTTTTTCACGGATTTCTTTTCTCGTCGCCTCTCTATTTCTCATCACATCAAATCAATCAAATCAACACTACTTTACGTGGACCCCACTTTTTTGTCCCTTACGCCGATCACTACTCTTCGACACGTGGCGCAATACACGTCGTTCATTTCTTTTCTTTCCCGTACGTTTCCTCTTTCCCCTCTCGCTCTCTCTCGAGTCTCGATTCTCTCTTTTAAAACGCCCGTTGCAAAGCTGCAGACGCCCAATAGAATTGACCCTATCAAAGGTATCGCGAAAACCCCAATTCGCTCTTAGACGACGCATAGACTTATACACACACACATATTCAATAGTACAAATGCGTTTATATATATCTGTTATATATATATATAAATATGTATATGTAGTTGTGACTGGTGTGTGCTTATCAGAGATATTCGTCTGATAATCGACTGGTTAGTGGAAAATGTTTGTTTTGACACAAATTTTTTACATTCTTTTGGTGGAAATAAAAATTTTCTGATCCTATGTAATCCTTGAAGATTCAATTTTTTGTACAGATTATAAGGTCTACTGTCGTGTCTTGTGCAGTATATATATATATATATATATATATATATATATATCTTTGTGTGTATGTGGGTTGATAAATGTATGAGAATTAAGAGCCTATTCTAGGGTTTTAATGTGATTACTGTTTCGTGTGATGTGTCTCTGCAAAATTCCTATATTGTTGACAGGTGGATGGTCTTTGTTGTACTCTGTTGTCGTTTTACCACAAATTTTTTCAAACTTCATCGTCTTGGAAACTGATACTATTTGATTCTCTAACTTGTTCTAAATTGGTGACAGAAACGAGGGCAGGGCGGTGAAGGGTTAAATGGTAGGTAAAGCTGAGGATTTGGACTTGTGCTTCGGGAAGATGATGGTGTTCGGCGGCGATGGTGTTGGCGGAGGAATGATGCGAGGTGTTGGGGTGATCACTGAGTGGAAGGATATTCCTATGGAGCTTTTGTTGCGAATTGTTTCTCTTGTCGACGATCGTACTGCAATTGTTGCTTCAGGGGTCTGTAGTGGTTGGAGAGATGCTATCTGCTTGGGGCTTACCCATCTGTCACTCTCGTGGTATATCTTCTATTAGCCCCTTTTCATATGAATCTACATGTGACTATGACTGTTGTCTAAGCATATTGTTATGGGTCCCTGGTATTAAATTCATATTCCATTTGCTGCTTGTTTTTTTTGGTTATTTTGGTATTGGTTTGTTTGTTGGTATGATGGCCGATTTTGATTTCCTCGACCAAGCTTCATTGGGAAGCATTTTCCTTGTTACAGAACAAGTAACAATCAAACATGGTATTTACAGGAAAAAAATAAATAAAAAATCAAACATGGTGGAATTTTTCCTTATGATTTCATACTATTGGCTTTTAGGAATCAATCATTTTTATAAGGATGGGTTTACATGCCATTTGATCATCTGCCTTTCTACTGTCGTGGCATTGTTTAGGCTACCTTTTACCTGTTGAATGTCTTGATCATCTGCCTTTCTACTGTTGTGGCTTTGTTTAGGCTACTTTTTCATTTAGCCAGTGGCCATAACCATTCATATCCTTTTCTGGCACCTATTTCTTTGTGGGTATCATGGAGAGATACCTAGTTCAAATATTTTATTTTTATATTTTTTTTTGCCAATGAAAAAAAAAAAAAAATTAAATTCTTTTTGGAGCTATCGCTTTATGAGAATTATGGAGACTTGAAGGCATTGAACAAATCACTTGTGAACTAATGTAGTTTGAAGTAAATCAAAGTCTGAATGATTTACACCCCTCGGGGGAGAATTTTGAGTTGTTGAATATTTGAGCGAGGGAAGTTGTAATTGTTCTTCTCCGGTTCTGTTCTTGTGCTTACCTCTATTTTTCTCTTTTTGGCTTGTGTCTCCTTTTGAGGATCTAAGACCTAGATGCATATTGGATTACTACTTTCATATCTTGAGGAGTGAGGGTGAATATTTGGAGATAAGACAGACACCTGACTTCACGAGTTGCTGGTTCAAACCTTGACTTCACGAGTTGCTGGTTCAAACCTTACAGTCATTAGTATGTTACATCCATAAATGTTACAAAAGTCAATGACTCAAGGACAATTAGTAGGCATCTTAAACAAGACATCTTTTTTTGTTGATCAAATTCAAATTTCCAGAAATATGTTATAAAATGCTCAAATTTCCTAAAAAATTACTGTTTCATGCACAGATTATATGTTTCACTGTTTGCCTTGTTATCTTGTCTTAGTTTTATGCTTTGTCCTTCTGCATGACTTTCAGGTCCAAGAACAACATGAATAACTTGGTTCTATCTCTTGCTCCCAAATTCACAAAACTACAAGTTCTAATACTGCGACAAGATAAACAACAACTAGAGGATAGTGCTGTTGAGACTATTGCAAAATGCTGTCATGACCTGCAGGACCTGGATCTGAGCAAGAGCTTTAAGCTCAGTGATCGCTCCCTATATGCTTTAGCTCGCGGTTGTCCGAATCTTATTAAACTCAACATCAGTGGTTGTTCGGCCTTCAGTGACGCTGCTCTTGGATATCTGAGTGGTTTTTGCAGAAAATTAAAAATTTTAAATCTTTGTGGATGTGTAAAAGCTGCATCTGATAGAGCATTAAAGGTATAAAAGAGTTCGCATTTTTTATTTCACATTTAACTTCTTACAAATTGCTGAGTGATCTAGTTCTATTTTTCAAATTCCCTTGCAGGCTATTGGGTATAACTGTGGCCAGTTGCAGTCTTTGAATCTGGGATGGTGTGAGAATGTTGGTGATGTAGGAGTTATGAGTTTAGCATATGGATGCCCTGATCTAAGAGCCCTCGACTTGTGTGGCTGTGTCCTTATTACAGGTATCACATATTACTTACTACAATATGTTGGAACTTGGAATTACTGTCTTTTTTAGTTCGTAATATAAATAATCATTCAATAATTAAAAAGTAAAACTGCTTTCTTTTAGATGTATTATTTGTTTGACAGTTTCTACAAATGTGTGGTTCATTTACCAAATCCTGGTCAAGTCTTGAGGGTTTATAATATTTATTGGATGTGAATAGCTACTTTGATTATAAATATTAAAGAACTATTTACATATGGAAGGATGGTTAAACAATTGGTTTTGTAGGATTCTCATATGTTGATTATATTTTTGAGTGGAATCAACACGTAAATGGCAATGTTTAACGAGTTTTGGCGATGTAAGTTAGATCCTACTGAAACTCCATGTTCCTTTTTTTTTTTATGGGTAATAAACATACACCCGTGTAACAACTAGGATTGGACCCTGCGCCTCTGCTATTGGGAGTGATAGGAGATTCAGAGCCTAACAAATTTTCTTTGAGATCTCCATAGTTAGATTTAATGTTTAAATCTCTTGGAGTCTCAAAGGAGTAAGCAATTAGATACCTTCTGCTTGATATTTGAAATATAAAATGGCATTACAGCCTACTGTCCTGTGTTGCATTGGAAGTTGGGAAGTATCTCCATAGAGAAAGAAATGCTAAAGAATTGCTTCTGGAGTATAATGAAATCGATGTTATAATTGATAGATTCGAGTGAATTTGTGTGGTTCCCTTTAATGGTGAGCACTTAATAAACATGTTTTGAAAATGCAAGTTTAGCTGCAAGGAGGTTTTTGGGATTAATGATTCACGTGACAAGAAGTTATAGGATTATGAATGACAGAATTTGTTCTGTGTGTAACACTGGGTGCAATACTAAAGAAATGGATGGGACTTGCTGCAATAATTTGTCATTGCCTCACGGACCAATATGTAGATATTAGTGATGTGGGTGCATGTGATTCAGAATGATAGCACAACTATAGTGAAGAAGTGGCCAAATAGATCTCTTGATAGTTAAGAAATTTAGTCTGCATAGAAAATTCAATACTGGACATAGAAAATTGTCTAGCCCTGGACCCGCCCTTCCTCATGTCTCCCTTCCAAACAGGGAAAAAATGAAAAAAAGAAAATAAAAGGGGGATATGGCCATATTGTTATCTTCAAGTTTCTATTCTTGGGTTGAGCTGTTTGGTGCTATGTTACTTGGACTTGGGTATGTGTTTCTGGTATGGGTATGGTAATCTTCAGGTTTCTGAGCAAGTGTGCCTGGTTTAGGAAAGGGAGGGTTCTTGGAGTGACCTTCGCTTCATGAGGCATTGTCCCGGCCACTTGTTTTGTCCCTTAATAGTTGATGTTGATCATTGTCCATATGGACTTTTGGCTGATAGGTTGATTTGTACATTCTTTGCAGAATGTTTTGGGACTTCATCAAATGCTTTTAGTCTGGATCTGCAGATCACTGTTTTTTTTCAAACTTTTTCATCATCCTGTAAATTTTATCAATAATCAAACAAAAATTATCCATATGATCTTCTGGACCATTGAAAATAACCAAAAGCCTTCTATAATGTAAATGGGTCCATCCTGATCTTATTGAACTTGAAACTTGAAGTTCATGTAAGGTTGTGAATTTCAGTGTTGGGAAGGCCTTAGTTGTTCTGTAATTCATGCAGTACACTATCTAGATTTTGATGTAAACCCACCCAACCTGAATTGATTTCTGCCCATAGCTGTGGCTCCTTGCTATATTTGTAGTTACTTCGTTGGGTGTATTTAGAATTTAGATTGTTGACTTTGTTTATCTTTTTGGACTGCATTGCAGATGAGAGTGTAATTGCTTTGGCAAATAATTGCCTTCATCTGCGATCCCTTGGCCTCTACTATTGCCAGAATATCACAGACAGAGCGATATACTCATTGGCTCACAGACGATTGAATAACAAGAACATGTGGAAGTCTGTGAAAAATAGGCACGAGGAAGAAGGGCTTATAAATCTGAATATCAGCCAGTGCACAGCCCTTACCCCTCCGGCTGTTCAGGCATTATGCGACTCATTTCCTGCACTTCACACCTGCCCAGGAAGGCATTCCCTCATTATAAGTGGCTGTTTGAACTTAACATCAGTGCATTGTGCTTGCGCTTTTCAAGCACACCGTACAGCCAGCGCATTTCCTCATCCTGCTCATTAGAGATAGTTTGAGGTAAAAATTTCATGTCTCAGTTTATTGGCCCGAGAAAGAAAAAAAAACTGAGGCCATGTACATATTGTTGTTTTGAACACAAAGGACTCTGTTTGGCTTTATGTGGTAGCCTTTTTGCTGCTGGAACCCGTATGTTTGCTATCTATTCGGATTTTGTATAATGACATATCGTGGTTGTTTTCGCCTTTCAGTATGTGGCAATAAGAAGGGGGGTGATGTGTATGACCTGTGTGTGTGTGTGTTTGGATGTGCTCCAGTGTGGTCTGCCTTGGCTGAAGTGTCAATGTTTTGACACTGCAAAAATATCATAATGTTTAAACTTATCAAAAAAATAAAGAAATATCATAATGTTTAGAACCCCAAAGGAGATGTTGCTGCTGGTACTGGGTGCAGGAACGACAAATACTTCCTGCTGTTCTTGTGTGCTTCATTCTGGGCAAAATGACGGTGTTTTCTTTCAAATTTTCTACTTTTCAATTTCATTTTAATTTACATAAAAAAATGATTTGTTGCTATTTTTATTTTTTCTTTCTTTTCTTCTTCCCCTTCCCTTCTCTTTTCACTTGATTTTTTTGTGTTAGATTATTTTATTTTGTCGAGTATAGAACATATGCCATCAATTTTACTGTGTCAAATTGCAGGTGGATTTGTGTTTTTTTTCTGAGCACCAGTTGATTTGCAGAAGTTCGTATTCGCGTGTATATTGATCCATGCTTGTCATTTTGTCGGTCAAACATATGGTGGCAATTGCAGGTTCTACCAGAAATACAGAAACACACTGCACAAATTACATGGCTTGCGCCTTTTTGATCTCTTAAAACAGTCTCAATGGTTGAACAACGTGCTTTTCGATAATATATCCAGTGTTTTATGTTGAAATATATTGCATATCTTGATCTCAAAGAAGCCAATAGTTAAACCATATCATTTGCTCTTGTACGCAATCTCTTCATCGTCTACATCAAATGCTGGATTACAGAGGCACCTGAAGAGTCTTCCAATGCCCTGTCACAAGAGAGAGTAGTAGAAAATTTGTCATGACCTGTTCATAGGGGTCAACAATGAACCCTAGGATGACTTAAAAAGGAGAGCAGCCAAATTTGAATTATGGTTGAAGATAGTAACTGCTTTTGAAAATTCATGATGGTTGAAGATAGTAACTGCTTTTGAAAATTCATGACCCAAGTTGAGTCTACTGTCCAAGTACATTGACAAGAAGATTCATGAAAAATTATTATTGCAAAAGTGGTAAAAAATGTTGGCATTGGTTCTAATTTTAATTCAAATATATATATATTAATTATAAAAAAGGAAAGGAACTTGGTTCATAACTTGAGTGAACCGTGTCCCCTCTCCCTCTCGTACACGAGAGGTCAGGTGCATAATCAGTGATGATGATTGTCACCATCAAGTGAGATTTATCATTTTTAGGTAGGATTTATAACGTGGTGTGTCACAATTAGTCAGTGTTGATTGTCACCAGTGAGTGATGGTGCCACAATCAGTCAGTGATGATTGCCACTATCAAGTGGAATCCATCACTATTAGGTGAGATTTATCACTAATCACTATTGGTTGGTGCACCGGACTCTCCGGTACAAGAGAAGATTTTAATTCAAAAAAAAGCTAAACTCAAGCTATTTTTTGTTCAGGCATGTTGAATTGTATGCATCCGTTTTGTGTGTGTGTGGGGTAAATGCACTGCCAAGATGCGTATATGTAAAGGTCACAAGAGGCAAAGCATACCTATCAACAAAAGTATCCTCGTAGGAAAAACTCTGAAATTGAAACAAGTACTAAAAACATAGGATAAGAAACAGAAACTTATATGAACCTTAAATGGAGATGTCTCACTTCTATGCTTTTGTGAGTGGGTGTTGTGTGCAGGAGGCACTTGTAGGAAGAGATATACATGAAAAAGGTTCATGCACATAATATATAAGTTCAGATAAGGGGCGAGTCGGTTGGTAACTTGGACGTCTTGAGTTTAACTCTCATAAGATACAAAAATATTCAAGTTTAAATAATACGTGTAGTTTGCAAATGATTACACATATGACATATCCTAAGTTTATTTTACAACCATAAGTCCAAAGGAGCCGTGGTTGAAAGGGTCCTGTTTCCAAAACAAATATATATATATATATATATATATATATATATATATATATATATATATAAAAGGTTAAGAGGTTTATTGGACATGCCTGTGTGATCATAGGAGTTCGATAATTAAGTGTTCTTGGTGAATCTTCTTCATCACTGCTATCAGAACTACTGCTTCCATCTGCATTTACATCGTCAGCACCAATATTTTTCCTGGACGTTCCACCACTTCGCGCAATCTTCTCTCTCTGAAAAAAGAAAGTTGTAAAAGCAGTTGCTTAGTATCACACCCTGTTCTCATTTTTGAGATAAATCACATCTTCATTTTCACTAAGAAATAAAGTAAAAAGTGTGTTAAAAAATATTCAAACAAGTGTGGCCCATTAGCTCAGTTGGTTTGAGCGTCGTGGGTTCGAAACCTGCATGGGCCAAAATATATATATTTTTGGTCCAGCTGTTACTCGGGTATCAGTAGAAATTCAATGAGTAGCAGGAGTAAAAATTTATCACTTAAAATTTGAAAATTCTCATAAATATTTATTAGAAGTAAAGACGTAATGTGTGCTACATTTCACACATAAACTACTCATGATAGTATTATTCAAACTAATATAAAATGATGCTTTGAAAATTGGCAAAATATATTGCACCTGAAATATTTTCCCCAGATTTTTTAGAGCCACGGCACGTGCTTTAAGTTCTTCCTTCTTAACATTATTTTCTTGCAGCACCTGTAATTAACAAAGGATAATTAAATTAATCTCCCTCAATCATTCTGAAAGATATTTCTTCTTTTTTCTATATTTTTGTGTAGATGAAAGAAAATGACACATTCTTAACCTAAAATGGCGATAACGCAGCAAATTGTAGACTCAAAGGAAATTGAGAACCTTTTTCTTTTTCATGAAAAGAGTTTCATTTACTGAAAAGAGAATGATAATAAACCTACCATTTGACACACATGTAAGAGGGTTATTTCAATGTCCACTACATTCAATTTCCATAATGAGTTCATCAGTGTGTCCTTGTTTAGCCTTAAATGTGATTCAACATCATTTCCAGGGCAACTACCATCCATTTTAAATTGTCGACGAACGTCTTCTTGAAGTTGCAGCAATTGGAAAGCACCTTTTGCTGCAGTAATCTGTGACTTCCAGAAATGTCCCTTATTCCGAACCCACTCGGCCAAAAAAGGCACGCCAAGGAAAATGGCTTTCTTTCCAAGCTCTTGTGCAGCTTGTCTTGTATATATGTAACCAATAGTATGCAACACATCAACTCCGAAAGCTGTAGTTGCAGAAGATGAGAAACTTTCTTTTAGCAACATCAATGCAGTTTATGCATTAGTATTCTGTCTATTGCGTTAGTGAATGTATACACGTTGTTTCCCCCTTTTCATTAACAGTACAACACTCTAAAATCTCATTATATGATAAAGCAAACAGTCTATAATCTTATTATAATATATCCATATATGGCTTGGCAATGCTTACTGTAAGCCACAACTTGGACAAAACCAGTTTCAGCTAAATGCCCTGAAATTTTAAAGCCAAAGGCCACCTTCTTTATTTCGAAATAAATAAATTTTAAGGATACCACATTTTAATAGTTAATTTTTAGAAACACGAACTTTGGAAATTAAAATTTAATAAAAATAAGAAAATATAAGGAATCCAGTAAATTTGTCAATTTCAATCATAATTTTTTTTAAGATCTATCCATCTTAGTTTTCTTGCACAAAGTCCAAGTGAAAGTGCAACATCTTTATAATCTGATCAAAATTAAGTTTCTCAAAATGGTTTATTTAAGAAAATAAAACATGCAGAGGAAATGGGCTGCAAGTTAACCTGCATGTGATAGCCGTTCTGCTTCAGATTCAGCTCGATGTAAGAATCCTTCTTTGTCACCTTGAACATACTGGTGAAGAAAAATTTTCAGTGTTCTGGAGAGTTTTTCTTCTCTTTCTTTCTGGACAGCCTTCATGTGTAGTTTTATATATACCAATGGAAATAAATTAGTGAAAATGAAATAAATTTTTTTTTTTTTTTTTTCCCTAGTTAAAAATGAAATAAATTGAATTTACAAGACATAATGATACTCAAAATAATGCAAGTCATGATACTTTTTCAAGAGGAGAATCATACCATTAATCAAAGGGTAGTCATAAGTTGAAGCTACACCTCTAAATAAAATTTTCTAAGATGTTCTCTACATGATGCATCACTGAATTCTCGGATATAAAGTATAAAATATGTAAGAAAATGAGGAAAAAAAAACCTGGAACAAATTCAGTATACATCTAATATTCTCTAACCCTCGAAAATTTTTATCAGTAAAAGAAGAAAAGCAAAAAAGAAAACAAAGGTAGTATATGTCAGTGTTTTTTAGATTTGAGCTCAGCTTCTCAGTTCTCAATAGTTTGTAAAGTAAAATTCCTTAAGCAAGTTAAGTTTTATTATGACATAATAAATGGCATCCATATCCACTAGCAAAATTCCTACCTTTCAAGTGTCACCATGTCAAATATGTATGCTTTGTGATTCAGAAACACTTATTTCCAAGAGTAATCAGGGATTGTAAGCATTCTACAATTTCACATACTACAGTAACAACCTTCATGAGCAGGATATGCGACCACTCTCGTGAAATATGTGCCCATGTCTTGTTAAATGGATTTTACGATTGTCAACTTGAAAGAAAATTTTCAAGGACCTTTTTTGTTTTTGGTAGGTAACCAACACTGGGAAGAGGAGGGGATGCCACTTGGGTCCTTGGTTTTTCTAGGATTCCATGCTATGAAAATTACAGTATGTTTTCATGTAGCTAGGCCAGGATGTAGAGGGAGGGAAGGTCATTAAAGGTTGGTTCTCACGATCGGTGGAACAAACTCTATGGAAAACAAGAATGGGGACTAATATATATATATAATATGCAAAAATAAAATAGACTCTTGCCTTCTTGCATCCAGGAAAGGCAAAAAGGATACAAAATGTGAAAAAGTTGTGTAATATAATCCTTATAAGTATCTAAAGCGTCGTTATGTCATTACAAGATGGTCAGAGCTTTCTACAGTTGGAACAAAGGTCGTTTTCTAATGATCATGATAATGGGGACAATGGTATGCTCTAAAATTGTGAACACTTGGAATTATCTTTTGAAAATCCACCATGTAGGGCATTCTCTTATTGTACCTCGGTAATTAACTCCTAAAGTTCCATGAACCCTTTCCTCCACAAAGAGGATTCTACCTGAGGCATAACTGTACCACGATGATTTACAATTGACAAGATTGAGAGCAGGATCAGGACTCAGGAGGGCCTAAGAGGTATAACTAGAATTCATGGTGCTGGTCATAGAGACACTCTAAAGAGTGTGGGCTTAGTGGTTAGAGCAAGGGGCTAGCCTCCTCGATGAAACATGGCACATGTAGCCACTTTTCTGGTATGTTAGGATGGGGGATCCTGGCCAAGCTTGCAGGTCTAGTGCCCGGTGATAGAGGCAGACAGTCTTAACAATGACATGCTTGGCTTTAAATTGTATTGTCTAGCTGGCCCTATGACTCTGGGAGCACAATATAAGGTCAAGAAGGCCATTCATTTTTAAGCCTTTGAGAGTCTTTAGAATAGAATTGACTTCCTCAGCACTCTCATTGACATCCCTCTCATCTCTACTAGATCTCTCTCTCTCTCTGGTCTACCCAACACTCATTGGAACCCAACTCTTTGGGCACTTCATATGTACCCTAGCATGTGTAAGCAACGTACCTAGATTTTCATTTAGATAGTTGTGTCAAGAGTTGTACACATTGATTGTCCAACCTTTTCTTGACATAGCAGAAAGCCATGCCCTTTTAAAGGATGTATGAGCAACCACCTAGCCTTTGCACCAAAACATTAATTAACTAGTATATTTAGTACAAATCTGAGGCAGCATGTTGACTCTTGGTTTCACGCACTGCTATCAAGAGATAAATAAACAAATTCCTACTCCAAAGAGCATGATTTAAGAATATGATGAATCTTGGAACATACTTGCCTTCAACCTATCATGTAGTCTTTCGGGGTTGTCATTTTCACCAGCTAATTCAGTGGAAGCCATTGATGCCACAGCTAGATGTCCTATGTAGTCTTCAAAAAGTTCACTTCCAAAAAGAAGAGCAAAGACGGCAGTGGGATCAATGATGGTTTCTCTGAAAAATTAAGACAATAGGTATATTATAAAGATTAACTAAACATTATCGAGGAAAAATAAACATTAGTGAAAGAAGTCATCTCAAAGGTGATCAATTGATCATATGGATAAAGCCAAAAATGTTATGTGCAACTATATGGAATTGTTCATACATTAGTGTGGAATACACGCCTGTTATTTATCTGATTTACATTATTTTGAGCCGATATGTGTTCTCTTGACAAGGGAATTCTTGTTTCAGCACAATAACTTGATAATTACAGTAATATCTTCCTGTAAATTCAGGTACAAATATGTGTGCGTACGAATAATGTACTAAGAAACATGGTGCAGAAGTTCACTAGAGTATAAGCTTCACTTATCGTCTTTTACCAACAGGCATGTGGTTTAGCGGTATTAGGCTCCTACCTCCCTTTGGGAGGTCAGGAGTTCGAACCTCAGTGGAGGCAGTGTGTGTGAGTCCCAACTAGGAAAAAAAAAAAAAAAAACTTATCGTATTTACATTGGTTGCATTAGGAACTCCAAAATTAAAACTGAATGTCCATTCTATTCAAACATTAGAGGTTTTCACTGTAAGCATTTTAGGAAGAATCAGTAGACAGTATCTGCTGACTGATCAGAACTTTACAACACAGCTTACAGAGGGATCATATTTAGATATGTTTGTATTGCATCACTCCTTTCTTCCTTCCAAAGTTTGTTAAAGTTGTTCTTCTCTGCTGGTTCACATTCATTCACCCTGTAAGGGCGTGGTGGTGGGGAATAATTCGTGCAACAACAGTAGGGTTTTAAATTCAAGCAGTTCCATGATGTCTAAAACTGTTTAAAAGTAATAAGGTGAGATGGTCTTGTAACATTTTCACAAAGAAACTACGCAAATTGCAAGCTGAAAAGTGTCTCAGAACTTTGTCCACAAGCCACATGATAACCAATTAGCCTAGTAAGAGAGCTAGGAACGAAAATTGGAATACTGTGCATGAATTGTGTTACAAAACATGGCCTAAAAAATACACATACACACACAAATAAAAAATGCTAAATGATTACCTAGATATGCAATACTTTCCATTTCGATCATAAGTTTCTCTTTGCACTGGATCACTCAAAACCTGATAAGCTTCACCTAACACCTGCATCAGTTGATAATCACAAAGGAGAATTTTATAAACCGAAGTGACCAATTTGAGACAATCAAGAGACCTCTGTCTCGCTCTCTCTCTTCCTTCCCCCTCCCTTTCTTCTTTTTGTACTAGCACAAAATAAAAAATGTATCCTCATTGTTAGTGATTTCTCTACTTTAAAAGCAAAACACTTACCTGGGAAGTATGCAGGCCAGTTGAATATATGTTGAACTGATATTTATTTTTTATTTAAAAAAAAAATGAGAAAAAAAATGAAAAAGAACAAGAAGCAATGGACTTGCCTGAAATCTTTCGGCAGCCTGAGGGTCATTCGGATTTTTATCAGGATGAACTTGTCTTGCCTGTACAAATAATTATAAAAGGACTGAAATCCAACTTAAATCATGTTTTACATTAAATTTATTGGTCTTTCATATAACAATTAGAACAATACTTGCCTCCAAATATGTAAGGAGACACCCTCTTCTCACGGTTGATATATCATAATATTATAACTTGTCCTTTATAATTTAAGATGAAAGAAAAGAAAAAGAAAGAAAGAAAGGAAAACAACAATCAATTAACTCTGTTTCTACTTGGTATATTGTTGGCACAGCAGCTGTCTTACAGGGTTTGGGGGAAATTACTTCCCTAAAAATTTGCGCGTGAGGGTAAGAGAGAATTATATATTCAGATCCAACAAGTGAAAGAGGAAGTGTAAAGGAGAGACAAGAAAACCAGAGAGGGTTAAGCTTAATGTATGACAGGCGAGGCTCCGAATGTTTAGCCGGAAGGAAGAATGCAAACACAACTATATATATGAAAGGCGCTAAGTATAACAGAAAATGGATCAGCTCTTCTACAATTACCATAAGAATACCAAAAATATAACATAAAGGTTTACAATTATCTATTTAGAAAATATGGTGTAAAAATTGCATAAGCAATAGAAAAACATAAAAAGGAAAAAAAAAAAAAAAATTAAATCCACAAGAATCCACTCAAGATCAATAAAACAACCTTAAAGAACTATGATTGCTTGTATATCATTATGACCTAGCTCAAATATAGGAAAAATCCGTTATTGGGAATTTAAACAAACACAATGTGTGTGTTGGTGGCATGGTAGCTAAAAAAAACCCATATCCTACTTTAACCAAACAAAACTTCATACCTAACTCTGATTCAAGATTGGGCAAACATTCTGCATTGAAATTTAAATAGAAATACTATTTCTAAACTATCTAGAATAAAATAAATGATTGAAATTTTTTGTAAGCTCTATTCAATTATGCTATAGATTCTTAAATAATATATTTAATCCATCAAATTCTCCACCCCTACAGGCACAAACATATAATCATTACACTGCAAGCATCAATATAAGATTTCTAAAGAAAGTAAATGTATAAGCTGATCATAATATATATATATATATATATAACCATTAAATTACAAATACCGAAGACTTGAGATAAAATTGGGGTTTTTAAGATTAAATTTGGAACCTTGAGATAGTATGCCTTGCGAATCTCCACCTCGGTAGCGGAAGGACTAACGCCAAGAGCATCATAGTACTCTGTTTCTTTCACCATATTTTTTCTGACTAATCCTTTTCCTGACCAGAAACAAAGCAAAAAGACAATCTAGAGAGAGAGAAAGAGATGGAGAACTGAGAAGGGTGAGGTCTGAAAAAGATGGTGGGGATGTTAAGTAAGAGAAGGAGCCCTCCACGAGACTCACTTGCCTTTCCAGTTCTCTAACAGCTAATAAACAAATTGTTTGTGAAAGCTTTTTCGCGGGAGAGAGAACAGTATTTTAACTGTCACTTTGTGGCGTTGATGATATGATATGACACTGTTTTGTTTGATCACTTGCCTTTTTTGTAGCTGTGGCCTTGTAGATGGGCTGGGCTTTGAGACGGGTAGGGGTTTTTCTGTGGAGTGGATTGATATATGGATTTGATTCAAAGTCGGGCTTGGTAGTGGGCTTATTCTAGCTCACTTGAATCAAAGTGTGAGAGTGGAAAATGAACCCTTCACATTTCACCCGGCAGGCGTGGCAGTACGGTGATGCACTTGCTTCTTTATAAGGTGATTCAGCGAGAAGAGTGAGGGGATGTTCCTTGTGAAAGGGGTGTAGCATCTCTGGCGGCAATCCAAAACATGATTTGCAGATGTAATGTTTGCAGTGCGTGCAACCATAGAAATCACTCCAGATTTTGTTTGTGCAACCATAGCAGGTCATTTGATCCCCCTCTTTACGTTCCTTTTGGTCGAGGGTCAAGTAATGCCTGTGGCTGAAATTTTCAAACTTCTCCATCTCTTTTCTTCTGATTCTAAAGGAATTTTGAGTAAATTACTCTGCAGCGGCAATTCAGCTCACAATTTGTGCAGCAAAAACTTGCATTGAAGACAAACGTCGTAGACTGTACCCTCTGTGGAGAGCCGACGGCAGAACAGGAAAAACTAAAGATTCAAATAATTGATATCACATGGAATCCAATAATGCAATAATTATTGCATCAAGGACCACCACCCAAGGAACATGGAATCAAATAATGCAATAATTGATATCACATATAACCTTTTGGATACGGGTTTCAAAGGGTTCCCTTATACTTGGTGTAATCAAAGGGAGCATCCTCACACGATATGGACCCGGATTGATAGAGGCCTTTGCTCTCAAGAATGGTTGAGCGCTTTTCCTTATTACTCTCTCCTTCACCTCCCAGTCTCTGGCTCTGATCATGTAGCTCTTTTGCTGGATCTAAATGTTCAAGTTCCTCATGGCTCGAGACAATTCCACTTTGACGCTCGCTGGCTGAAATTCCCTGACTGTTCCAACATTGTCAAAGATTCTTGTGATTCACCTTTCCAGGGCTCCATCCTTTTTAGAATCAAAGAGAAACTTAATGCCTAAAAAGCTAATCTCAAGAGCTGGAACAGGGGTCGTTCTAATAATTCTTATACTCGCATTCAGCAAATCCAAGGCCAGCTTGATACTTTGAAATCCAATTGCCACCTTTTTGATCGCTCAGAGATCTTTCAGCTTGAAAAGGAGTTGGCAGAGGAGTGGCGTAATGAGGAAATTTTTTGGAAGCAAAAGTCTCGCTTGGCTTGGTTAAATCTTGGGGATAAGAACACGGCTTTCTTTCACCGCAAAACTGTTATTCGCCGTCGCAAAAATGAGATTTCGGGCATTGAAGATGAGCAGGGCCTCTGGCATGACTCTAAAGAAGTGGTGCGCGGCATTGCGGAGCAGTACTTTCAGAGTCTCTTTTAGTCCACCTCTTCTAATCCAGGTGCTGATTTCTGGAACCTTGTTCCCTCTATTATTTCAAAAGAGGTACAAAGGAAGAGTTGAAGCTTGCTTTATCTTCCATGGGCCCTTTTAAGGCCCCAGGCTCTGACGGTTTCACCCCCCTCTTCTTTCAACAAAACTGGGATGTCGTTAAAGTTGATTTGCTTAATGGTTTCAATGCTTTCTTTGAATCCGGTCACATGCTCCGCAGTATTAATCATACAAACCTTGTGCTTATCCCTAAAGTCAGCATCCTACTAAAATGTCTCACTTTCGGCCAATTAGCCTATGCAATGTCATTTACAAAATTTTCTCAAAGGCTCTAGCTAACCGCCTTCGCCCTCTCATGAAGTACCTCATTTCTGATCATCAATCAGCTTTCGTGCGCAACAGAATTATTCATGAAAATATTCTTCTGGTACATGAATTTTTGTACTATCTCAAGTCCAAGTTGAGTGGCAAGCAGGGTTTCCTCGCTTTCAAACTGGACATGGAAAAAGCCTATGATCGTCTTGAATGGAGTTTCCTTGAGGGTATGCTTCAGGGTTTTGGTTTCCACCCTAAATGGTGCTCTATTATTATGTCTTGTGTTTCATCAGTTTCATTTTATGTGGTTATCAATGGCGAAGCGGGAAGATGTTTTCAACCCTCACGGGGTCTGCACCAAGGGGATCCCTTATCTCCTTTCCTCTTTCTCCTGTGTGCTGAGGGCCTAAGCTTATTGTTGAAGCATGCTGAAAGTGTTCAATCCATTCACGAGGTTCAGATTGGTCCATCAGTCCCCACAGTTAGCCATATGCTTTTTGCGGATGATGCTATCCTATTTTGTCGAGCCGAAGAAAGTGAGGTCTCCAAGCTCATGGATATTCTTGATTTTTTCTCTTCCCTTTCAAGTCAGCGAGTCAACTTCTCAAAATCTGGTGCTTTTTTCAATAAGAATACTGACCCTTCATTGCGCCTCTCTCTTTGTAGAATTATGTGCATTCAACCTTCAAATTGGGTCAACAAGTATTTGGGTCTCCCCTCTCTTATTCATCGCTCTAAAGCAGAAGCCTTTAAATTTCTGAAGGAGAGATTAGCGGCAAAGGTGCAATCTATGAAAGGACAATCGCTTTCACGGGCTGGTCGGGAAACGATGTTTAAGTCAGTTTTGGCGGCTCTCTCCACTTATGTGCCCCAGTGCTACAAAATCCCCTCTTATATTGCTGAGGAAATCACTAGTAAATTCTTAATTTTTTGGTGGTCTGGCAAAGATGAAGGTAACCCAATTAATTGGGTAAAATGGCATGCGTTATGCTGTTGTAAAAAACAAGGAGGGCTGGGTTTTAGGGACTTGGAGGATTTCAACCTTGCCCTTGGGCAAAGTTTGGTTGGCGTATGGAAATGGGCGAGAGTTTGAATTATCAATCTCTGTTCTTTACTGTGTTCAAGCAAAAGTATTTCCGTAATCAATCTTTTCTGAGCTCGTCATGTCCGACCAATGCTTCTTGGGGCTGGAGAGGGATTTCAACTACTAAAAATCTCATTAAAAAAGATCTGGCTTGGAGGGTGGGAACTGGTGCTGATATTAATATTCGGACTGATAATTGGCTTCCGGATCCCTTAAAACCTTTTATTTCTTCCCCTTTTGTGCATCCCTCTTTGCAGAAGGTCAAAGAGCTCATTGATCATAACACTAGATCTTGGAACCGTGTTTTGATCCATCAACACTTCAACTTAAGGGATTCCAATCTTATTTTTCAGATCCCTCTTGGGTTGTCAGGTGGTCCAGATCGCCGTTATTGGCTCCCATCTTCGGACGGTATTTTTTCAGTTAAGTCTGCCTATAAGTTAGCAAGGTCTCTCCACGAGGTCAATGACTTTCATCTTCCTTCTTCCAGCCATGCTCAAGAGCAGTTGTCCCTGTGGAAGACCATTTGGAAGATTCAAGCTCCCTACAAATTTATTTTCTTCCTTTGGCAATGTTGTCATGAGAGGATTCCAACCATTTCTAAGCTTCATTCTCGCAAGGTGGTGGCTGATTTTACTTGTCTTAGGTGCGGTCTTTTTACGGAATCGGTTTCCCATTTGCTTTTCACTTGCCCTTTTTCCCGTATGGTTTGGAAAGCCTCACCGCTTCGCACTGTTTTCTCAGCGTCTGAAAATGGGTCTTGGTCCCATATTTGGTTTTCTCTGGTGTCTCGTTGGAAACATAGCGATCTTTTCAATGATTTGTGTAGTCTGGGGTGCTTCATTTGCTGGCACATTTTGACGGCTCAGAATGACCTTCCATTTTAAGTGTCTAAAGCGTGATGTCTTGGAGGTGGTCAGCAAGGCCCTCTCATCTTTTCAAGAGTTTGCCGAGATTGGATCTCAACAGGCTTTGTTCTCCTCTCCTCCAGTGCCTCGTGCCCCTGTTCCTTCTCGGTGGTTTCCTCCTGTTACGGGGCGTTTAAAGCTTAATTGTGATGTTTCTTTCTCTACGGGTTTAAGGGAATGCGGTGGGGGCCTCATCCTTCGGGATTCTTCCGGTCGCCCAATAAAAGTTGCCTCCTTCTTTAAGCATGACATTGGGTCAGCTGAAATGGCTGAAGCCATTATCCTTAGGGATTATCTCTCCCTTGTGCGCATTTGGGGTCTCCAAAATATCAATGTGGAGGGTGACTGCTTGTCTGTTATGTCCCTCTCCCCTTAGTTTTCTTCCCTTTTAACTATGATTGATGATATTAGCTTCCTTTTGGGCTCCTTGGTGGATTGCTTATTGATGTAGGCTCCTCACTCTTGTAATGCAGTAGCTCATGCCATCAGCCGTCACTCCCTCAGTTCTCGCTTCTCGGACTTCTATTGGGATTTTTGGCCTAGTTGGCTTCTCTCTGTAATTGATAAGGACATTCATCCTCTTCTTGGGTGAGGTGTTTGGTCCTTTTTTGCTTTGCTCTGTTTTGGGCTTATCTTTTTCTTATACTCCTCGTTCAGAAAAAAAAAAAAGAATTATTATTCCTTCTTTTTATTATTGTGGCATTAGAGATACTAATGATGACACAAATATTTTAGAATATTAAATATATATAATATAAAAAATATATTTCATGCCTAGGAAAGTTGGTAATCAACTCACATCGTGGACCACGTGGCAACCAAATGTCACAAAGGATGGATGTTTTTTTTCCATTGTACACTTTGTGTTGTAGAAAAGAGTGGGCTGCTCCTCTGAGTTGCAGTATTTTGCACCAGAACCAAGTGCAGTCACTTGAGATATCTTAGGGAGGGCAGGTCGAGGTGGCTGACAAGGGTGCTTGCATGAGTAGAAGCAACGCCTTGGTGCCGTGTGATGACCGTGTCATCTTTTTTCTTTTTTTTTTTGGAATTTTTTTGTTTCTATTTATTTATTATTATTATTATCATTTATATTATATTATTTAATTATTTGTTTATTTCTTTTCTCGTAACCTTGGGGTTTTGAAGACCCGAGGTAGGGTTTTGTGTTCGGATTTGATTCCCGACATTCCATGCATTTACCTTGAATCATTTCATTATTGACGCATAGTTTAAAATTGTAGAAAAGCATACTAGCTTGTTTTCATTTCCGTAGGGATATGGATGCATGATTTTTTCGGGAGACTTTTTACATTTTAGGGTTATTTGTGTAATTAACTTTTTGAGATATTTTTGTCGTAGGTAACTTTTTGCAAATATTTTGTGAGATATTCAATGGAGGGACGAATTTGTAATTTTTGAAAAGGGTGACAAGTGTCACACTTTCCTTGGGCCATTTGTTGACTTCTTATTGGAGACACTTATTAGCTTAGTAATTTGACAAGTGTAGGTTTGTGATTAAACCTTGTGAGAAGGCCTAGGATGGTGACAAGTGGAGGGGTGAGATGTGTGTGTGTGTGTGAGAGGTAGTGTTAGTGTTGTATATGTGACTAGCCATCTATTTCCTTAGTGGAATTTCTAGTGATTTGCTTCATCTTCCTCACCTCTCACATGGAAGCCACCATAGATAACTTGAAACCCTAGACTTGAGAGCTTACTTGTAACGACCTGAACCCGTGAGTCCAAACCGTTAACCGGGTTTTTACCCAAACCCGAGGTCAACTAAAGGTAACATCATCCTTTCTTATGTTCATAGGTGGCACACTGGATCATTCAGTA